ACCCTGTGCAAGGTCCTGGATTCAATACCTAATGCTACCAAAAAAAGTGCCTTTTTTTGTTGGTGATGGTAGTGGTAGTCATGGGGCTTGAACTTTGGGCCTAGTCGCTCTCCCTGAGCTCTTTTGCTCAAAGCTAGTATTCTACAACTTTGATCCACAGCACCACTTTTTTTTTTTTTTTTTTTTTTGGTCAGTGGTGGGCTTGAACTTAGGGCTTGGACACTGTCCCTAAGCTTTTACTCAAGGCTAGCACTCTGCCACTTGAGCCACAATGCCAGTTCTGTTTTTTTCTGTTTACGTGGTACTAAGAATCAAACCTAGGGGCTGGGAAGGTGGCTCAGCGGTAGAGCGGTTGCCTTGCATGCTCAAGGCCCCGGGTTCGATTCCTCAGCACCACATAAGCAAAAAGAAAAAAGCCGGAAGTGGCGCTGTGGCTCAAGTGGTAGAGTGCTAGCCTTGAGCTGAAGAGCTGAGGGACAGCGCCCAGGCCCAGAGTTCAGGCCCCACGATAGTGGAAAGGCCCAGGACTACTGTGGAACTTGACTGACTAAATTCCAGATTGAGTTATTTTTCTGCTTTGAACAGGAAGGTGACCATATTGGCCTGACCAGAAAGTCCAACTCTGCTCTGCACTTTTTCATTAATGGCATTGACCAGGGTAAGAAGACACTGAGGAAGGGCCATTTGTCTGGGCTGTCATTGAGTCTGGTCCCTAGCTCACTTCCTCTTTGGTTCTTGCCTTCCCGAGACTCGCCTCCTCTCCTTCACAGGTGTGGCTACCCCATTGACACCCCCGGTAGTCTATGGTGTTGTAGACTTATATGGGATGGCTGTGAAGGTCACTATCGTTCACAATAACAACCACAGCGACCGTCTTCGTCGGAACAATGCCATCCTGCGTGCACTATCCCCTGAGGGTGCTCTTCGTCGTGCTGCTCCTGCTGCCCAGGCAGAACCTGAGCGCTTGCTTTTCCACCCCAACTGTGGGCAGAAGGCAGCCATTACCCACGAGGGACGCACTGCCCTGAGGCCCCAGTATGGCCCATGGGGTGGGGAGAAACCTACAGAAGGGGCTCTACTGGCATCGGGGCAGGGTGGAAACATAGAAGGCAGTGGGAGTCTGGTTTGGGGAGTCCTGGACAGAAAGATGGGGAGCTTCTGGAGCATGAGGTCTGGTTGGTGGCTTAGGGCTGTGTCTGCCGGCAGGTGCTTCTGGGCTAAGATTTGATAGACTCAGTGTGTGTTGGTATCTGAGTTTGTGCTTGCTGTGTTCTCAGTGCCACCGATGACTTCAACCATGGCGTGGTACTGAGCAGCAGAGCCCTTCGGGACGGAGAGGTGTTTCAGGTGCGCATTGACAAGATGGTGGACAAATGGGCTGGCTCCATTGAGATTGGTGTCACCACCCACAACCCTGCCTACCTCCAGTTGCCCTCTACTATGACCAACCTGCGCTCTGGTGAGCTTCTAAGAAGGACAAGACTGGGATTGGGACTTAGAGAGAAAGTGATCCCTACATTCCAGGCCTTTGTTCTCTTGTTTTTCTCTCTCTGCTGGCCCTTGTTCTATTCTCTCTCTCCTTCTCCCCCCCTCCCTCTCCCTCCTTTTCCCCCTTCCCCTCCCTCCCTTCCCCTATCCCTCTCTGTCAGTTCTGGGGCTTTAACTTAGGTAGCTTGAGCCTTTGTGCTCAAGACTAGTTCTACCACTTGACTCACAGCCCTCTTCCAGCTTTTTTGGTAGTTGTTTGGAATTAAGAGTCTTGGACTGGGGCTGAGAATGTGACTTAATGGTAGAAGTGCTTGCCTAGCATGCATGAAGTCTTGGGTTCCATTCCTCAGTACCACAAGTAGAAAAAGCTGGAAGTGGTGCTGTGGCTCAAAAGAAGCTCAGGGACAGTGCTCAGGCTCTGATTTCAAGCCTCAGGACTGGCAAAAAAAAGAGAGAGAGTCTTGGACTTCCCTGCCAGGGCTGACTTTGAACTGTCTCCTGAGTAGCTAGGATTACAGGCATAAGCCCTTGGTACCCAGCTTGCTCTTTTTGTGCTGGTATTGAAGCTTGAACTCAGGGCCTGGCCATTTGTCCTTTGCTTTTTTTACTCAATGTTAGTATAATTAACACTTGACCACTTGAGCCATAGCTACACTTTGGCTTTTTGGTGATTAATTGGAGAGAAGAGTATCATAGACTTTCTCGCTTGGGGCTAGCTTTGAACTGTGATGATCAGATTTCAGCCTCCTGAGTAGCTAGGATTACTAGATGAGCTACCTTCCAGTTTCTTTTTTTTTTTGGTGCGGTTGTGGGGCCTGAACTCTGGGCCTGGGCGCTGTCCCTCAGCTCTTCAGCTCAAGGCTAGCGCTCTACCACTTGAGCCACAGCGCCACTTCCAGCTT